TGGGATCTTCCCAGCCCGAGGCACGAACCCGTGTCCCCTGCATCGGCAGGCGGACTCTCAACCACTGCTCCACCAGGGAAGCCCCCGTTGGTCCTTTTGAAGCCCAGCTTGTCTTGCCTCTTCCCAGTGAGGCTGCTCCTGCTCCCCAGCCCATCAGCCCCTCCACTTTCTGGGAATCCAGAACCCTTGGCTCCCGCTCTGTCCCTTCTTTTGTTTCTGACGTATCTGCTTCCTCCCCTCCCCACCCAGGACAGACACGCAGAGCAGGCACAGGAGAGGGAATGAAGGAATCAGGAAATAAGGGAATGAAAGCCCTCGGCCTGGCTTTCTCTCCCTCCCAGTGTAGGCCCCAAACAGGAAGACGAAGAGGCTGCCTCGGCCCCAAACCTGTTTTTTCTTCCTGACTCTGCAGAAAACCCAAGATTTCCAAGGATCATCCTACTGGACCCCTGACCCCTGATTTTCAGCTACTCCAAGACAGAAACGGCTTCTCGCAGGCCGAGTGGGCACCACGGGGGCCTACCGGGAAGGAAGGCCCAGGTCTCAGGGTGTCCAGGAGATGCTGAGACGGTGCTACTTGAGGACCCACTCCCTGCACACTGGTCACAGTCCCTGCGGGACCCAGCAAGGGCTCACCCCCCTCTGGGCTTCAGTTTCCCCATTTGGCAAACGACCAGCTGGTGTTGGGGGGCTATCTGTCAGCTCAAGTGTGATGTGTGAAAGGGTCGGTCCACACATCAGGCCATGTAGGTGCAAGTTGGTGATGGTATGGGTGCATCTCTGGCCACAACAGCCCATAGGCTCTGGGTGCTTCTGTCCTAAGGCAGGAGAGGGCTCTGCTGGCCCCATCCCCCTGGCTTGACCTGAGATGCCCCCAGCTATGGGTGTGACCACAGGGCCAGCTGGGCCCAGCCTTGTTTGCCTGATGCTCGTTGCCCACCCCCACCAGTCCATTAGTCTACCTGTTTGTCTGTCCCACAGGTATCTTGGGCAGAGTGGAGCTGTAGGCGCCCCCTCCTTTCCAGCTGCAAGGTCAGGGCCCTTCTCTTCCCCAGGAGTGCTGAGCTGCCCAGCAGCCGGGCTAAAAGGCATCAGTGCTAATGATGGGCCCATTAGCTGACTTGCCAGCCAGCCCTGCCTGGGCTGCCAGGGAGAGCTGCCAGGGTGCAGACTGTCCATGCCAGGGGGGATATGGGGACTTCAGGCTGCAGAAAGGATGGTGTTTTGTCCCTTGAAGGCATATCACCCACCCTTGAAACTACGTCCTTGCCAACAACATTCAGGAGGTGACAGATAAGGAGTCATGTTCCTTCCCAGCATTCAGGAGCACACCCAGTGGCAAGCTCAGGCCCTTTACACAAGCCAGGCCTTCGTAGGAATACCCTTACCTCCTTCAGAAGGGCAACACCTCCCACTCCAGTTAACTCCCTAGAGCTCCTCTTTCTGGCCACAACTCTAGGATTAGCCCCCACTGCCCACAGCACCCGCCTTTGGTGCCCCCATCACAGATGGTTCCCAGTGCAGGCTCCCCCAGGCCAGTGGCCCAGTGGGCTCATCTGTCTGCCCCATCTGGCTTCTCTTGGCCAGAAGTGGTTGAGCCTGACTCAGTGCTGCCCATCACCTGTCCATGTGCCCAGCCAGGTGCCCTGTGGACAGAGTGACCAGGGCCTCAGTCTTCTTATCTCTGAGGTGGGGAGGATGGCAGTCAGCAGTTCTGGGCACAGAGGAAACCCTTGACCCATGGGGCCAGACTGGAATCCACTACATGATCAGTAGGGTGTGGCCCTGCCTGTGTCAATAGCACACAGTAGGTTTGCATGCAGACCTCTGAGAAACGGGCAATGGTGTACACACATACACACAAACATACACACACACACACAATCACACCACTGACACCAGCCCAGGGACTTGGGGGATCCTGGAGTCTGCAAGATCAAGAGAGACAAGAGAGTGAGGGAAAAATATCTGGATGTGAAGCCATGCTCCTCTCCCTACTCCCAGGTCACGACCCCACACTCCTTGCCATGGCAAGGGTAGAGAACCTGTAGCCACAGCTCTGGCTGCAGCCCCTGGACACCGCGGCCCTTGTTAGCAGGCAGCACCTCCCGTGGCCGCTGTAGACAGGCAGCAGGTGCTTTGGTGCCCATAACACTTAGGGTGGATGAAGATGGCCCGCCTGCCGAACACTGTGCCTGGTGCCAGCACCTCATTGTGCCAGCATTATCTGCTATCTAGATGGCCACCAAGGAGGAACTGGGCCAGGGCATGGGTCGGGGAGGCAGGAGAGGCCATTGGTTCCAGGGCCTCAGTGCCAGCCCTAGGGCCTGCAGGAGACAAAGCCCTGCCCTGGGAGTCTAATGGGAGACATAACTCTGCCTGGGAACCTAAAGAGAAGGCTGCGAAGGCTGGGCCAGGCCAAGGAGCCGGCTGGACAGGACAGGTGGCTCCCCGGCCTGAGGTCTGCCCCAGCCACAGGGCCTGCTGCCTGCCTCTCTGCCAAGCCGGCGACAGACGGCTCTCTCAGAAAACAGTCCTCTTGGCTGAGCTGAGCTGGCAGTGAGCCAGGGCAGGAAGGCCAAGCGTCCTCACTGGTGCAGCCGGGTAGCTGCCTGGGTCCTGCACAGGGGCCTGGTGAGCAAGCAGCAGTCAGGTCTGACCAAGCCACAGCAGCCGCCTTCCATGGCACCAAACGTAGATGCCAACTGCTATTCCCCATGCTCACCGCACTCTCACTTCCTCACCCTGCTGCCCACCTGCCAGCATCCCTCATGCTCTCTCTTGGGCTCAGCTCCAGCTAAGAAGAGTGTGTGTGTCATCTATACAAGGGCCGTGTGGGCCCCCTAGCCCCACTCCTCATGTGTCGTATATGCACAGAAATCCACTTTGTGGGGAGGCATGTGTGTTGAGTTCAGAGGGAGTGATTCCCCCCACTCCCTGCCCAGTTTGTGCAAAATGGCCCCTAAAATACCACGTAATGGAGGGGGTGTCAGAGGTGTGTACCCTGGATGTTAAGGACACACGTTTCACCCCAACCAGAGGGTTTCTTCCACATTCAGACCCCTCCCGGGCCTGTGAAGTTACAAGCTTAAGGGGGCCACTCATGGGTTGGGTTGGCCCGAACCCCTGGAGAGACCTCACTCCCTGTCCTCCTAGCATCATCATTCTGATTTTACAAGTGGAAAATCAAAACCCTGAGGTAAAGCCTTACTGAGGCTGAAGGGTTTAACAGGCACCCTTGCCTCATCGGTGAGATGGAGGTGACCTCCAGGAGTCCTCAAGGGGCCACAGGGACTTGTGAGTCTTCAGCCTCAGTCTTTACTCACTGCTCAGGATCCCAGAGCTCACATGTTCAGGTCAGGATTTGAGGCCAGGACCCTTTGCCAAGTCCCCTGCACATAATCGCTAGGTGGTACCACCTCTTTGTTGTGTCCCAGAGACAGGGCACTAGTGGTGGACACTGGGGCACCTGCAGCCCAAAGCAGACACAGAGGCCTTTCCAGGGACCCTCCTACCAGACCCTAACGGTCCCATCCTGCCCTGTCCCCAGCTCCACATCATATCAAACATAGTGACCACAGCTGGGTTTACAATGTATTTTCACACATGTGACCTTGCCCGCCACCATCCATAGCTAATGCCACTCTCTACCAAGGAAGGGACATGGGCCCTCTCAAGATGGGAGAGGTAGGGAGGAGTCCTGCCCACGTGTACCCGAGCCCCTGGGGCACCAAGACTGCATACAGATTCCTGAGCCTCACCTGCAGTCTGAAGCGGGGGCTAGAATCCTTCTTTGTGATACATACCCCCTGTGTCACTGATGCCACCAACATCTCATCCTCCACTGAGGCCATGAAACAGCAGGACAAAGAGACAAAGGGAGCCATTGGAGTAGCTGGAGGGGTGGCCCAAGTGAATGCCAGGTGTCCCAGGGACAGCCCAGGTCAGGCAGGACCCAGGCATGGTCTGTGAGGAGAGCCCAGAGGAGGGTCACTGTGAAGGTCACTCTGGAGGCCTAGAGCCACCGACCCCTACCCATCACCCATGCCCTTTCCCGCCCTTGCAGAAGATTTGCCTAAAAAGTTGGTGAGTGAAGCCCTATGTTCTAATCTGCAGTCCTCCCACTGTGCCTGCCTATTTTCATTACAGAGGGAATGAGCATCAGAGCCGTGTTTATAACCCCCTTTTAGATAACAAATCACATTTTCTTTTCGCCAGCGACTGTGTTGAACTGATATTTTTTCCCCTCGGTTTAATAGGTTTGTGTGTTCAGGAATGATCTTCATCAACCGAAACTCCTTATTGTGTTTGATGTAATGTCAGCTTTCATTACGCGCTTGGGTCAGAGCTGGGCCCAGGGAAAGGCTGAGCACCCTGGAGCCTGGGCCCCGGCCCTCACCCCCACCCCGGGCCCACCTGAGCTCCAGCCTCTCTGGACTGGTGGTTGGGCAGGTGTGGGAGGGGTTGGAGATGAGTCGAGAAGGCAGAATGGAGCCGGGGTGCAACGCCTTTTTTATCCCTGCCTTAGCTTCCTCATCTGTATAACAGGGTCATAGGGCTGTTGGGAGAACCCTGTACCGCAGTGCGTGTGAGGCCTAGCTGGACACAGCAGATACCTCACAGGACTGAAACTGGTCTTTCAGTCATCAGGAGCTGTGGTCTTGCCCAGGCATGGCGCCAAGCCTGTAGTCAATGTTCCAGAATGCTTGGACTATACCTATAGGTCCAGCCAGTGGCCTGCATCCCCCAGACCTCTGGTGGGAGAGAACCCATGACTGTTCCCCACAACTAGCCCTGGTACCGACCACCTCAAACCGTGGCCTCAGACCCAGCACCTGGACAGTCACCAAGGCTAAGTCCCTCCCTCCTTGAGGAGCCTGAGCTCAGAGAGGGAACAGTGCAGCCCTGCGATCACACAGCACATGGGGCCCAGCCAGGCCCAGGCAAGGGGAGGCCCACCATGGAGTAAGTGCTGGCTCTGTGCTTGCTGTTTTACAGCCAGACCCTTGGGAGCACACTTGGTCATCACCCCCATTTGCAGACCACAAAGAAACAGGCTCCCAGTGAACAAGGGACTTCTGGGGCCATGCTGCAGGTTTTTGCTGTACAAAACAGGGCTGAGGAGCACCAGGGGAGGGTGACTCGGACAGTGGCCCTATCTTGTGTCCTGGCCTTAGGGCCTATCAAGACAGGGGTGGGGTGGCCCCTCCTGAGCTGGTGGCACCTGATGGCACCAGATTTACCTTGTGGCAGCCGCTGTCAGCCATGCTCAGTTCTGATTAAAGATCATTAAACATGAAATTAGCCCATTTGTGTTACGGGTCCCTGGGGTGGCCGGTGATTATGATGTGCAGATGGCTGAGAACCCAGGCGGCGGGCAGGCGGGCGAGGCCAGGACACGCGGTGCTAGCAAAGGCAGGCAAGGGCTGGGAGGCAGGCACAGGGGCCGGGCTTTGTTTTCTCCCGCTCCTGTTGTGTAAACCCCCTTGCATTTCACAACAAATCACAGATAATTAATAAGTACATGCTCGTAATGAGCAGGCTTTTTAATAGAAGAAATTGGAAGATGCGGTGTCGAGTCATTATTTCACTCTTTC